ATAAATATATTTGCATATGCACATGTCTTTATCTAGACCTCTATAAATGCCCTTTGCTTCCCAGCTCTTTCCTCTATTTCCCTTGATTTTCCTCCTGTCCCACTATCATGCTCAGTCCCCACCAGGATTTCAGCACTTCCTCTTTGTTAGATTTTGAGGAGCATTTTTAACATAATCACCATTCAGTAGCAATTGAGAGAGCAGAAAATTCTTATAAGTCTGCTAGGAAAAAAAACTTTTCAAAAAAAGAAAAACTTCATGAAGTCTACTTTTTTTTTAACCTAAAAAATGATCAATGCATTTATTGTGAACAGTGCATTTCTTTTTAGCTCCGCCCCTCTGCCTTAGCAAGGAGCCCTGGTGGTGTAGTAGATACGAGCTGGCTGCCAACCATAAAGTCAGCAGTTTAAAATCACCAGCCACTCTTCGGAAGAAAGATGAAGGCTTTCTACTCCTGTGAAGAGTTACGATCGTGGAAACTCATAAGGACAGTTCTGCCCTGTCCTATGGGATTGCTGTAAGTTGGCATTGACTTAGCGGTAGTGAGTTTGGCTTTCTGGTTTTGGTTTTTCCTTTAGGGAACGTGGAATCGGGTGCAGCATAAAGAACCCCTGTTTCGGTTCCCCCCCTGGCTTTCTTGGTTGCCCTGTGTCTCTTAGACCCGTGTGTGTGTTGGAGCCACCAAGACTGGCAGCGCTGGCCGGTAGCCCTGCCACACGTGGCACTCTAATCAAGTTACCACGAACAGTGTGCAGCACAGGAAGTCAGTGAAGTAGGGAATCAGCAGGCATCCACGTGAAATAACTTAACCAGATGGAAATCCGTTTACTAAATTTGACCAGAATGCTGGTGCGCTTTTAAGAGACCACTTTTAAGGAATGCGCCACTTACTGTAGTTTGGACCAAATAAGAGATTACCAGCATATTGGTTTGCAGCAAACAGGGGAAGTCCACCACTCCCTACCCCCACCCACCCCCGACTGTTTTTAAGGTATTGGGGGTGCCACTCCATTGCCGAGGCGAGACTGCTTTCGGGGTGTTTGGGTGTGTACTTGTCCGCTCTGGTAGGCGAGTTGGTGAGTTTGGGCTTTTCATTTTGTTCTTTTTTTGCCTTTTATGTGGTTATCGTCCCTCCTCCCCTTTTTAAATGCTGTTGGCCCTGTGGGTATCCAAAATTCTTAAAGACTGAAACATCATTTGTGCCCAACTGCATTTTTAGATTTGTGTGGGTTGTAAAATACCTGCTGTTCAGAGAACTTCTTCTAACCTCTGGTTGTCGATTCATTCTTGGGTTTATTTCTGATTTTCTTTTTGTTGGTCTGTTCGTTTCCCAAAGGAGCCCGTAATCACTAAAGACGTAGTAGGTTTTGATCATTTATGTTCATGGAATTGAAACATGCAACTGTGTCATTACATGTTTTGAAAGGCTGGCTTGCTAGCAAGTCAGGATGGCTGACCACCTTACTTACTAAACTCCTTGACCATGTATCTGTCAATGATCCTGTGCAGCAGTTAGATCAGATCTGCCTGCCAGTGTCACTGCGTTGAGTTTCCTCTGGTATAAAGTGTGGTAGGGGGAAAGAAAGAAAAATATTTGCAATATTTTCCATACCAACTGTAAGATTTCGATCTTTATGATAAACCATGTTTACCTAACTATAGTGCATTACTCTGTTTAGATGAGGTGGTTAATACCAACCATTTTCATTTTTATTGC